TTTTCTTTTAACCATGGCCTCCAAGTGGCCTATGATACACAGCCCCAATGAGGACAAAAGAATTTAGATAAACTATAACATGAAGACTACATTTTATTTGCAGGCTGTTTGCATATATACTTATCACTGAGCCTATATTCTCCCTCCCAGGCTAGGTTTCCACGTGATTTAATACCGGTACTGTGGGTTACAGCATACCACCAGGTTTCATTCATGGCTGAGCAGGCATCAAAGAATACAGACACCAGTTGGTGGGGATCAGTATTAGGGTTTGGTTGATTAAATACAAGGCTTTTCTCCTTGGTGCAACAGACCCCTAGCCATTCTTCACTTGGTGGGGGGGGTGGTATTGTGGGTTGAAGCAGGTGTACTGATTCTCTTGCTGACAAATAGAATAGATAGTCTTATTATGCCTGTGGGTCCCTAAAATAGTTCCCTGGGAAGAGAGGTGGGTCTGGTAAAGGAAGGTCCAGGTAATTCCTTGACCTGATCCATTTGTGCAATTACATGGGTCACATGAAGCAGAGGGCTTTGAAATTACAAAGGGGAACCAGATTAATGGCAATAGGCAGTGGTTATACATCCTGTACAAAAAAAGATAAAAGAGTACTGACAGTAACCTCTCACCACGGGTCCAGCTCTCTGGAGCAACTGATGTCAAACCTGCAGTGAAACCCAAGACAAGAACTACAACAACAAACAATAAAAAGGGATGACACTGCATTACACTAAAAACACAGTTTGTTTACTTGTTGGATGGTCAATTCCTCAAGCTTCTGCCATGTGTAGATTAGTCAGTTTCCAGAGTGACTAAAGCAGGACTGCAGTCCTCTAAGGTCCTGGGGTCGTGGTCTGTTTTCTTCAGAGAGTCAGCTTCCTGGACATTGATGGATTAGCAGTACACCCCAGTCTCAGGCCGATTTCACTCTGTTGTGATGAATCCAAGGGCCCACATCAGCTATCTTTATTGCAGTGGGGGTGGACAAAATAAAAGTAATTGGACCTTTCCAAAGGGGCTTTAGGGGCTGGATGTTCCATTCCTTTATCCATACATCATCCCCTGGTTTAAAGGGGTGAGCATATGTGGTTAAGCTCCCAAGTAGCTGCTCTCTAACCCAATGATGTATAACAATGAGGGCTGAGCCTAGAGCCTGCATCTGCTGTCTTAGAGTAAGATTGCCCATCTATTTTAAATCTTTTATACTTTTAACAATAGGGGGAGGGTGCCCGTAAAGAATTTCAAAAGGGGAAAACTCTGTCTGCTTAGTGGGGCTATACCTGATTCTTAGCAAAGCCATTGGCAACAGTTGGTCCCATCGTAAGTGAGTTTCCTGACATAGTTTACTCAGTTGTAATTTTAGAGTCCAGTTCATCCATTTCACTTTTCCAGAGATCAGGGGGCGATAGGCAGTATGTAATTTCCATGTGATTCCTAAACCCCGTGCCATTAATTGTATTACCTCAGCCACAAATGTCAGCCCATTGTCTGATCCTATAACGATTGGGACTGTGAATTGGGAAAAGATTTATTTTAAAAGTAGTCATGCCACTTCATGTGCCCTTTTGGTGCAGGTAGGAAAGGTCTTTACCCAATCCAGGAAAGTACACACAAAATCTAACAGATATTTACATCCTCGGAACCAGAGAAACTCAGTGAACTTCACAATTATGTTCTCAAATGGGATTCCTCCAACAGTCTGCATTTCCAGAGAGTTTTTAGGCCCCCGCTGCAGGTTATTTCAGGCACATACTTCACATTGTTGACATACTGCATGGGCTATATTGAAAAGTCAGGGTACATAGAAATGTTGGCCTAGTGTAGTTTCAAGAGTTGTCCAGCCCGTATGAGTTTTTTTGATGAAAATGCTTGACAAAGGTTGGGGCCAAAGTCTCAGGGACAGCAACTCGCCCATTTCTAAATTTCCACTGTCCACCTGGTAGATAATTCCCATCTTCAGTTTTGAACCAAGTTTGCTCATGCTTGAATAATTAGTATCCCATTCTGCCAATGGACTTGGGAGCAATGCAGCAACCAAAGTCATTGGCTCCATTGTTCCTTGGGAGGCTGCAAGCTTTGCCTCCTGGTCCACCTTCCAGTTTCCTTGAGTAGCCATTGTGTACACACTCTGGTGTCCCTGGCAAAGCATGACTGCTCCTTTTTAGGGGACCATACAGCATCTAAGAGTTTAAGAATTTCTTTACCGTATTTTGTGTCCTTGCCTCCTGAGTTGGTTAAGCCCTTCTCCTTATATAAAGTCCCTTGTGCATGGAGGGTGGCAAAGGCATATTTAGAGTCAGTGTATATATTGACATTTATTCCTGCCACCAGCTGGAGGTCTCAGGTTAGCACAACTAATTCTGCCTTTTGTGCTGGAATCCTTTTTGGCAGAGGCTTTGCCTTGATGGTGGACTGCAGGGTTACTACAGAGTATTCTGCAAACCATTCTCCCGCCCTTATGAAGCTACTGCCGTCAGTGAAATATTCCACATCGGGATCCCTAAGAAGCTGGTCTGTCAAGTCAGGCAAACTGGAGAATACTTCATTCATGACCTTGATGTTATCATGACAGGGCTGGCCCCACTCAATAGGCAGCAAGGTTGTAGGGTTGAGAGTCCACACCACTTCCAGGTGGATGCATGGATTCCCACATAACATTCCCTGGTATTTGATCATTCGGGCATTAGTCAGCCAGTATTGCCCTTTATATTCCATTAATGTCAACACCAAGTGTGACACCCAGACCGTTAGTTCTTGTCCCATAGTCAATTTATCAGTCTCTGCCACTAGAAGGACTGTGACAGGGAATGTCCATAGGCAAGGTGGCCAGTCTTGAGCAACAGAGTCAAGCTGCTTGGAGAGATATGCTGCTGGGTAATGCCATGACCCTAGCATTTGGGTTAAGACCTCTACCCCCACTGCAGTACACTCACTCATGTATGTCTAGGAAAAAAACAGCTTAGATATGTCAGAAAGCCCCAGGCTGGGTGAACTAAAGAGGGCTTGTTTGATTTCCTCTGAGGCCTTCTGTTGTGCTTGTTCCTATAACATAAGCTATTGTTCTCCTCCCTTTGTGGCTTCATAGAGAGACTTTGCCAAAAGTGAAAAGTTAGGTATTTAAATTCTCCAAAACCTGTGGCCCCAGAAATTTCCGAACCTGATAGTTAGAACTGGAATGGAGCATACAGCTTACTTTCTTTCTGGGCCAAGCTGACGTTGCCCCTGGGATCAATAACGTTGCCAGGGATAAATCTTCTTTTAGCAGATTTGGGTCTTTTTCTTTGAAACTTTGTAGCCAGCCTTCCATAGGAGGGTAGGGAGCTTCTGCATTCCTTTTATGCAGTGCTCCCATGTTTACCCACTCAGCAGCAGATCATCCACATATTGCAACAGAGTACAGCCAGCCGTACTGATCTGCTGGGAAGGCCTTTAAGTCAGAGACTAGTGCTGTACCAAAAATAGCTGGGGAATTTTTGAAACCCCGTGGCAGTCTAGTGCAAGTCAGTTGGCTTTTGTCTGTGTCATCTGGATTTTTCCATTGAAAAGCAAAAATCAACTGACTTTGAGGAACTAAGTGGATATGAAAGAAAGCATCTTTGAGGTCTGAACATGTAAAGTCAGTGGTTTCAGTGGGGATAAGACAGGAGAGTGTAGGAGTTGGGGATAACCAGGTGTAAAGTGACAGTCGTTTGATTTACTTCCCATAAGTCTTAAACCAGTCTGTAATCATCTGTCCCCTGTTTCTGAACTGGCAGTGGCAGTGTATTCCAGGAAGACTGACAGGGCCAGAGGAGTCTGCATTTTAAAAGTCTCTCCAGTTGCTTTTGGATCCAAACTTGCACCTTGTGAGGAATGAAATACTGTTTCTGATAGGTGGGCACAGCCCCTGGTTTTGGTTCTATTACTACTGGGGTTATGTTCTGGGCCAGTCCAGGGGAATTATCCTTAGCCCATACTCTGGGCACCTTGAAGGGAAGTTCAGGTTCTTGCTGTGTCTCCTCTATGAGGTTACAGAGGCACCACTCTTCCCCTTGGGGAGCTGTAAGAGTCAAGATTTTTGCTTCAGGATTCCCCAGGGATAAAGCTGCCTGGCCATTGGAGTAGAAGGTTATTTGGGCTTGCAGCTTTCCCAAGAGGTCTCAGCCCATTAAAGCCACTGAACAATTTGAGAGGTACAAGAATTCATGGACAATTTCTTGGCCCCCTAGATTGCTTCGTGGAGGCTATAAAGAGGGAGAGATGGGCTCAACCACCTGTGGCTCCCACAATGGTAGCTTTTCTTGGGGAAAGAGGGCCACCCACAGGCTGGGTTACTACAGAATCTTGACTCTTACAGTTCCCCGAGGGGAAGAGTGGTGCCTCTATAGCCTCATAGAGGAGTCACAGCAAGAACCTGAACTTCCCTTCAAGGTTTCTCTCCTCAGGGAAAAGGAAGAGGCCAGATGGTTCAGGGACAATACCAGCCTGTGCTCCAACCATACGTGGCCCCAAGAATCATTTTGTTGGCCTAGCTGCCATGGGAAACTATGGAGAAGACTAGGACAGACTGGGCTCCATTTTACTAGGCCCCTGGGAGCCTGTGCTCTGAATGTCTATGAGGGGCCGGCCCCTTGACTTCATGGTAGACACAGGTGCAGACAGAAATCCTCCCGCTCTGGACATTCATTTTTTAAGTCCCCCTCTTGGAAGCAGTGAGCACATCGGTTCCTCCCTAATCTTATCACTGGGTGAGGTGGTCCTTCTTGCTGGTTTCTCTGTTTGCCTTGACCTCAGTCCTGGCCTTGGCCTCAGCCTGGCAGGGCAACTCCCCAGGTGCTTCACTCTGCCAAAACAGTGGCAAGCAGGTCTGTTTTCTTTTTCATTTTCTGGTCTGCCTCCCTCCAGGCCTCCTGGTCTTGGTTAATAAATATCTTTGTTGCGACTTCTATCATTAGCTAGTTAGCATTCATCCAAGCAAAGCCTTCTCTCTCTCTCTCTTTTTTTTTTTAAGATAAAACAAGTCAAATTTATTAGAGTTGTCCACAGTCAGCAATGGTGATCTTCTTGCTGGTCTTGCCATTCTTGGACCCAAAACCCTCCATGGCTTGCACAACATTCATGCCCTCTTTCACCATGCCAAAAACCACATGCTTGCCATCCAACCATTCAGTCTTAGTAGTGCAGATGAAAAACTGGGAACTGTTTGTGTTGGGTCCAGCATTTGCCATGGACAAGATGCCAGGACCTGTGTGCTTCAAGATGAAGTTCTCATCATCAAATTTCTCCCCATAGATGGACTTGCCACCAGTGCTATTATGGCATGTAAAGTCACCACTCTGGCACATAAACCCTGGAATAATTCTGTGAAAGCAGGAACCCTTATAACTGAATCCTTTCTCTCCAGTGCTCAGAGCATGAAAGTTTTCTGCTGTCTTTGAAACTTTGTCTGCAAACAGCTCGAAGGAGATGCGGTCCAAAGGTTTGCCGTTGACAGCAATGTCAAAGAACATGGTGGGGTTGATCATGACTGATGGGAAAAGGCTCAAGGCGGCAGCATCTGTAAAGCCAGCAAAGCCTTCTAATTTCTGTAATTTGTGCCGGGTGTCTCCCTGAGCTTGACTCACAGAAGTTGCATGAATCATTCACTGATTTTCAGCTGCTTCTGGGTAAAAAGGAGTGTAAAGACAGAATGCCTCACATAGCCTTTCATAAAATTGGCTGGGGATCGCTTCAGACTTTGGAGCACCTCTGAGGTTTTATTCATAATTATGGACTTTTTCCCTCCTTCTTTCCTATCACTAAAAAGGGCATCTTGATAACGTTCAAGCATTAGAAATTCATGGCTATCATTGGGGTCTCATTGGGGATTTTCCTCAGGGAAATGTCTTTGGGCACATACTTGTGAGTTCAATGTTCCCTCAGGCACGTGCTCCTCTAGCCATTTTAAAGCAGCCTGAGTAATGTGATGAAGTTCTTCAGTGTTAAATAAAGTTAAGAAGAGCTGGAGGCAATCAGTCCAAGTGGGCCTGTGAATCTAGATGATGCACTGCATTAGATCAAACATAGCCTGAGGCTTCTCAGTATATGAGGGGGTATGATGTTTCCAGTTCAGAAGGTCAGTGGTAAAAGGCTGATATATAAAAGTATGTTGGATTTGGTCATCTGGATTGTAGTATAGGGGCACTCTAGCTTTCCTTAACGGCAGTTGTAAAGCCTCTTAACAACCATGTGGAGGGGAGCTGTCAGCAGTTTCCCTGGCACCTTCCTGCCAGGGTGTAAGGAGTTAACATTGGCAGCTCTGGAGTAGCTGCTGCCTGGGGCATTTTGGGTGACCTTGGGGAAGGTGCAGATTCTGGGCTGAGGCCAACCTCTGATATAACTGCAGCTGCAGAAATTGCAGAGGGTGCAGGTGACAAGGAGGGGTACAGTGGCACATAAGGTGGGGGTTTCCTTAGGTTCCTTAGATGGAATGGGTTTTTTCAATTCTGGTCAGCACCTTGAGGGAGCTGGGCTTGGGTCAGCATTAATCTATAGTTGTTTTCTAGACAGACTTTTATCCCAGGACTGTATCTTGCCAACAGTCAATGTAGGGAAACTGATCTGGGGGCCTGGATCCCCCACAGTGATGTCAAATCCCTTACTAACTAACCTCTTGGCTAGCAACCCCTCAGAGGACTACTCCACCCCAAATGAAGGCCAAACTACTTCACAGAGTATCTGGAGCTTTCTGGAAGTTAACTTAATACCGTAATTCCCTGATTATTCCCTTATGAAATTCTTCACCATGCATTCTAAGAGGGTAAGCTTACTCTGATTGCTACCCATTTTCTCCCACTAAAAGATGACAATCACACAAGGTGGGAACGAATGGGGGGGATAATAGGATAGGACAGCCACTTTGCCTTTTTCCAGCCATACCCCTCACAGGGATATTTCAGGTGTCTTCAGGCAATAGGCGAGTCGGTATAACCTCCTGACCAGGTTTTGTCCCAGAGTGTTGTTCTCCCACTACAGGAGGTATTTTAGGTGCCTTTTTGGCAATAGATGAGTCAGTATAACTCCCCAACCAGGTTTCAACTCAGTATGCCATTCTCCCATTACAGGAGATATTTCAGGTGACTTCTTGGCAATAGGTGAGTCAGTATAACCCCCCAACCAGATTTTGGTCCCACTACAGGATTTACTCCCATCACTAGTCCCTGAATCTACTCCTGCCATTTAACCAGTGAAGGTCACCAGGAACAAAATCAGGGCTACAGCACTCACTTCGCCACTAGGTGACATCTCGTTCATTCACATTCACACAACATCTCCAACCCAATGCCTAGTAATGCCTTAAAGGAGTTACAGTTCCATCCACATGTGGGACCACTCAGGCAACCCTGGGAGGTGATCAGGCTCCCCTTCTGCCTCTTAGGGGGCAGGTCTACTAAATTGAACACGTGTTCTTACCTATGTGACAGACATGGCTCCCTTGACTGATTTCTGTGCCTCACCCCAACACGCCAGCAGGGTTAGTTCCCTACGTATCAAGTGGTCCGCTGGCGCCAGACGAGGTTGCCTCTCCCGGCATCCTGAGGGTCATATCCCAATGACAAGGGAGATGGAAACACGGTCTCCACTACTCGTTTCCTGGCCAAAGCACCAGAAATGTAATGGGAATCTCTACAGAGAGAGACGGGACACTGAGGTTACTTTGCCAGGAAACATTGTTTATTTGTGCTGGCACCGGCTCAGCAGATTTGCATCCAAAGGCTGAGCCCCAAGCACAGGGGGGCATTGCCTTTTTATACAATTTTAACTTCCTTGTCCCCCAATAAGGCTTACATATTAGTAACATACTGGTTAATTGGGTATTTCATAGCTCAAGTTTACAGCAGAGTTATACTTGCGCATTATAGATTGTGGTCACTTTTCTTTCTAATATGTATCATGTAAGAAAGTTCTTATCCTATGGTACTAGAAGAACTCTTTTATTAATCTGGGAAGGCCTTTATCTTAAAAGATTTGGGGTAAGGGCTCCCTGCTTCAGTTGGCCATGTCCTGCTGAAAGTTTTTGAGACAGATACTGTATTACTTGCTAGAACTGAATTTAGTTATGTCAAAACTAGGGACTTGAGTCCTACACATCCAGTTTCACGGTATGAGCTATTCCATTACTGACAAAGTCAACAAACCTCTGGTTCTGCTCAGGCCATGCACATCTCACAACCACACACAATTGGAAATTAGCTTCCCACTAGTCCAAGTAAGGCATGGTGCCCATTCACCACTTGGTGAAGTTTGTGGAAGCCTGGCCTTTCATCTAAACATGATACCTGAACTTGAAGAGAGTCCCAATATCTCCTACTGAGAGCAACTCCACTTTCCACTTGAAGAATGGCTGCCAGTAGCCCCACCTCTACAATACCAGGAAGATCATCTCTTTGTTGGTGTAGGAAGGTGGAGCTAGGTGACAGACTTTGTGTTCATGGGCAAGCAGTCAATGTCAGGCAATAATATATAGGAAGTACTGGTGTGCTTCACTGCCACATTGTACAGAAGGTTCATGGGTTACAGCTGACCCTTCTTTCTACAGTGTGGTGGCCCATATTGTGGGAACTTGTGAGCATATCAGAGTTCTGAGCATAATGAAGAAACTGCTGGGCCCCAGAGTCTGACAGGTATAGGGCAGGGCTGATGACCTTCTCCCAGTACTTGTGGATGACCTCCACAGTTTGGGACCTGACTCTGGAAAGCTGAGCGATCTGGGGTGATATCTGTGTTGCCTGCAGCAGGCTTATATTCATAGCACACAAAGAGCAGGTGTGTGCAGTGGATGGTGAAACTTTTCTTGTAATATAGGTCATCTCTTCCAGTTCAATGAGTTGCTTCTGCAGATTGTAACTGTTGGGCAAACAGTTCCTACCTCTAGAAGTTCCTGTTATACTTTAGGAAAGTCATGTAGAGGTTGTGAGAAGCCTTTACCGGAGGCTTCCTGGAGGAGTTCCAGCAAATAACCAATTAATTCTCACTAGATGGTGACTTTCCTAAGGGCAGGAACCATGGTTTACTCATCCCTTGAGATACTAGAAACTCCTATACTAAAGGAAAAATCCTCTGCTTGCCTTTTTCTGGTCATTACCAACTGTTTCTGGCCAAGGCTTTGTTGTCTAATGATTCATTGAACTCAAGGGATTGAACATACTTGTGCAGAATGTCTCCCATTCTGCCTTTTCTAAACCAGCACACACCTCTTTTCTTGTGTCCTTAAGCAGAATTTTGGCCTTGGATGGAATCCAAATATTTTAATTAAGCAATGATAAAGCATGATTTCACTACTATATTATAATTTTGATAGTTCTTAACCCTATTAGACACAATATCCATGTTTATAATGGTTTCTGTTTATAACACAATCTTTACTCTCCTGAAATGATAACCATGGTAAGAAAACTTGACTATATACACAAGCTTTTAAAAAACAAACAAACAATAAGATATGCATTTAATATGTGAGGGCTCAAGTACAACTGCACAAAGAAAAGACAACCACCTCACTCCTTACATTTTTTTAAATGGCATTAACTGCTATTTTTTGCCTCAAAAAGCCTCCACCAGGGCAAGGTTTTAGCATAGACTGTCCATATGTGTGTGCCTGTGCTGGAAGGTACATGTTTTAGGAATACACAACTCATCTTTCTACCTCATCTAAATGTAGATTCATTTTTTTTAAAAATACTACTACCAATAGTATTAAATACTAACTCTCACACACCCTGGGTAAAAGATGTGTCCCCAATAACTCTATGATGAAATACATGTTAGGATTATGCCTCTCAGCAATGCATTGGATAGATTAATATGTCAAGATAGCTAGCTATCACCATTCCCACACAAATGTTATGAGCGGGGTTACAGATCAGGTGAGTATTGATGGGGCACAGAAATCTAAGCAAATAGGAGATATGTATTATGGAAAATATATGCAATGAAGTATCAATGCCAACCAGAAAGTATCATGAATACAACTGAAGGAAGAAAAGTAAACAAATGCCTACCTACCAGGTTTACTTGAGGATTTTCTAAAGTTCCACATGGAGAACACCAAAAATGAGCCCACTTAATCTTTCAGATTGACAGCAAAAGAGACTGGAGGGGCATCTTACTGAAACTGTGGAATGCTAAAGACAGAGATCTTAAAAGCTGCTATAAACAAGAGATTACCTTCAAAATAACAGCATTGAATAAACAACAGATCTTTCACTTGCAACAACAGAAGGCAAAAAAAAAAAAGAAAGAAAGAAAATGCAGCAATATCTTCCAAGTGTGTAATAAAAGATACTGCCAACACAAAATTTGTTCACCCTACTGAGCTACTTAGACCAAAAAATTAGAAAAAAAAAAAATTTAGCCAGGCACAGTGGTTCCTGCCTGTAATCCCAATACTTTGGGAGGTAGAGGCAAGAGGATTGCCTGAACCCATGGGTTCAAGACCAGCTTGGATAGCATGGCAAGACCTCGTCTCTACAATAAATAAAAAAATTAGCTGGACGTGGCAGCGCACACT